GGGTCAGGACAGGCACAGCAGGATCTGCACTGCTCAGGCTCAGGAAAGATCCTTTGCCAGTGTCCTGTCAAAGCTGATAACTGAGTTTATTCAAGGCTTACAATATGAACAGAAGACACAGTTATCTGATTTCCTCATTATCCTCATACTGAGGATAAGGAGAATGACATGTGATACCTTTAAAACATTTTTTTTAAAAATTGGGAAGTCTCCTGGTGCTGGTAGTGTTTAACAAGCTGCGTTTTCAAGATAAAATCTACTGTCCAGTCACTGGCTTAATGCTCTTCAGTAGGAAGGTGCCATTAGCATATAATTTTTCATTGAATAGTGCTTGCAATTGGTGAAAATTATAAGGTCTGTGCAAAAAATGCCTACCACTCATCCATATATTTGATACTCTGGAATTATGTTGCACCCCAGGAATCTTTTTTTAGATCTACATAGAAAATATTTATCTATGCATATAATATCGAAAATAATGTTAGATATGTGTATCTCAAATGGACATAAGCTGAGGTAAATGTGACCTATATTATATCAGTAATAATAACTAAAAACCCAAACTGAAAGTATGGCTTCTGACTAACTCACATTATTTCCTTTTTTTTTTTTTTCCCTTAAAAAATGAATATGTAAAGTTAGCACTGTTTTCTGGACTACATAGTAATTTCTAATCACTATATTCTACATGACTGTAGTTTTATATTTAGCATCTTCTTAACATTTGGATATCAGTAATTCTAGCAACACAAAATTTTGGAGTAAAAGCTCAAATGTTTTTTGCATGAAAGTTTCAGATTTTCCTACATTATTTTCCACTTTTAAATCACTGCCTATATGAAGTAAGAACTTATAAATTCACTGGAAACCCATTTAGTTTTTCACTGGGCAGGATCTCCTATTATTTATGCAGTTTTCATTGATGATTCTTCTTTGCTTCTGCATTATGTGAGATTCTTTTTGAGGTGAAAGGTTTCTTTCTCGTCTCTTATTCTCCAGTCCTTTTGAATGATTTTTTTAGAGTTCTTTATAGATTTTTTTCAAAGTCCACAGTGGAATCAAAAGCTCAAATAAGGAACTCGTAGATATCAAACTTTATCAATGTAATCAAGGTAGTGAATCATGGGAAGAGGTGGGTGTGCTAGTCATAAACCCGTCATGACCTGAGGAAGGGTAAGTGAAGTAGTGGAAATGCTGGAAGTGGGACCCTTGCTTTCCCTTCCTTCTAATCCCAAGTCTTGGCTCTTCCTGGTCAAGTTGAGATGGTCACTTTGAGGATATTCAAGTCTGACCCAGGACACTGCTTTGGCTCTCACAGAGAAATGGGGAAATATGTTATCACAGCACCTTCAGTCTGGGCTGCCCAAAGGGCCTTGTCTGCTAAGTAAAATGAAAAGTATCCCCAAGGAAATAAGTCCAGTTCTGTTGATTGGAGAATGTGAGTATTCTCTGTGATGTTCCCTAATAGGAGTTGCAGCTGAAATCAATGCTTTGAGTCAGGTGTGGGAAAAGAGGACTACTCTTTTCCATTCCCAGCTGCATCACTATATTTCAAAAGCACTTTGGGTCAAAATGTTGTCTCAGGCTGGAATTTCATCTTTCCAAAATGCCTCTGTCTTATTTTATCTGATGCAAAAGGCTTCTATGAGTTGCTTTAGTAATGCCCAGTAATGTTCTCCCAAGTCATTGGTACACGTACTGACCATGCTGCTGTCTGAAAAGGGACTTGTTACATATGGCAAGTTTGTGCAGACCATAATCTGCATACCGTCTTCTAAAGAAAGATGGCTCATGCCAAATTTTTCTTTTTTACCCTGAAAATCCAGCTTCACTCTGAAAAAAAGTAGCAGTAATTGTTTATTCAAGCTTTTAGTAGTCAGTCATCTAGCTATTGATAATTCCTTAATTTTTACTGTGACTGGGAGGCACTTAACAAATCCAACAGAGTTTTGTCTATTCTTTCATTAAACTAAAAGCCTAGATCAGTAATACAACATAAATGGAATTGCCTGATATCCAAATTCCGAGCTATACCTTTCACGTGTAATTGATATGGACTACCTGATCTCTCTGTGGAGTAGAGGAAAATGTAGAAATTCAGCTTAGTCATGCCTTTCCTGTGTGGTATTCTCAGGACATAGACGGCATAATTGACTAAAGACATCTTAGTTTAAAAGCCATCTTTTAAGTTTCATCCAGTCCTAGTAATTCGTGTACAGTCCCATGGGCTACATCCAAGGATTATGCTAATTTTATTAGCAACTCCTCTTACTTTAATTAAACTGTACAAATTCCCATCTGGTCACTGTTGTGCCAACGCCCTTCTTTCAATTTTTATTTTAATGTATAGATAATTTGTGGGTTTGCATTTTACTTCTGATTTCCTGAATTACCCATTGTGTTTTCCACATGAAACGACACAATTTTGAGGGATGAACTGGTCTTCAAATTGAGCTAATGGGGTTGAGGGAACCTCTGGATCAAAGCAGAGACCCAAGTTTCTAAAATTGGCCAGGTCTTTCTGGGAGCAGGTTGTCAAAGTAACTTGCTCTATTGAAAGCCCCAAGGTATACAGTTCTGTTCAAAATACCTACAAGCAAGCTCTGAATTAACATTTACTGTGTTTATGCCACAAAGCAGAGCAATGTGAATTCTTTAGTGGACTGTTAATTTACATGTTATACACTTTCAAATGTCTCCAAAAGCAAATGTGAAATTATTAGTAATGTGTTCACATGATCACAAAATGTTATTAGCAAAATGTCTTGGGCAGTGTGTTATCTTGACTAAAATTGATAATTTTGTATGTTAAAACTAAAGCAACTCTCACTGCCCCTGAATAATTTTAGGACCTGCCCAGGGCTCACACCTCCTGGTCACACCACTTCTCAATGTGTGTGTTGAGCTGAAGGAGAAAAAAAGACCAAGAAACCCATAAACAGCAACATCCCCTGCCCAGAACAGTGACCTAAGGTTTGAGTGATTCAGCTCTTCTGGAAGCCTCAGTAAATGCTTTCTGTGGAGTTCTGCAGTTTAAAATGGATTATTATCTATAACATCACTGTGAGGAGGTGATTCTGGTGTTTACCACTTGTTCTGCTTATGTAAGTTTTAAACTGTGTATGTTGCTCTGAAGAAATCAAGCCTGGTGGTTATTTTTCCTTCTGCATAACTCTCTGTCAGCAGCTGCTTGTGGTTCTGACAGCCAAAGCCCCGGACAAAAAAATTTCATACTCCTCAAAGTGTTGAGGTTGTTCTCCTTTTTAAAGAGGACCAGAGAGCAAGAAATTTAATGGTATTTGTCAATGTATCTATTTTTTTTGAATAATGGTTTCCATGCCTTGCAGACTCAAATATAACATGACATTTCCTTCTAAATGCCAATTATTCTGTCCAGAAGAGTTGCCCAAAAGTCTACTCCTCAAAGTTTCACACCAGACTCACATGGGATATTAAAATTCAATAAAAGCTGTTGTGATAGTAAGATTGTGAAAAAAGCCTGTGCCATAGCTGAATATTTTTTATATGGGTGTAAAACACATTCCAGCAATTTACATTTACAGCTATGAAGTAATTGAGTAAAGAAATGCATCATCATTTTCTTTTTTAGCACGTAGGTGAATTATTTTACCAACATGTGAAGGGGTGTTCATATAACATCATGGTGCTTTGTGCTAGAGAAAAACAATTACAGTGAATAAGGTAGAATGGCTCTGTTATTGCAGTACATAAGACTTTGATTACATACTGCCAAGATTCATACCAGCCTAGTAGTTGTTGACAGATAAAGTAACAAAAATGAAACTCATTTATTTTTTCTTTATTGAGACCTCAAGGTAAAGCAAATTTTCAGTTCTTGTACTTACTACATTGAAGGAACAGAGACTGACAGTCAAAATGTGCAAGTCCAGAAATATAAATTAAACCTAGTTTCATATCGAAGTTTCATTTAGTCTCTGAAAAGGAGCTGCTGCTTGGATTATTTTTGATCCTAAAACAAATACACTGTAGACAACCGTAGTGTATCTTGGATGAATTAACCCCCTCATACATTTAGCTTTTATGTATTTTCCAGGATATATATCTATCTCTATTCAAGCAATTAAAACGTTTGTTATGGACTTAATAATTTTTCTTTTTTTTCCCCTGTTTAATAACAATTTACAGTGTTTGCAAACCCAGAGAACATGTAGATGGTTTTAACAGAGTGTAGCACTTTTGCTGAAGAAAAGATATATTTTGAGGAAAAAGTCTGCCCTCCCCCCTTGCGTAAGGAAAATTCTTCTGGCTTTTACCATGAGTTGTTCTAGGCAGCTAGGTGCTGTATTATTTTATGATAATTCTAGTAAATTAATTTTCTGTAAATTTGTTTCTTTTCTAAAGAGCAGATAAGAGTAGCTATTAAAATAAACAAGTACTAAAATGAGTGGGTTTATTCCATCAGAATCTTGGATTAGTTACCTAGTCCAACTGAACGTAATTGCTGTTCAGATTAATGAGGCAGTATCCTGGTATCTCCTCTGTAATTAAACACTTCTCTGGTTCAATACAGTATTAAAGATGCACCAGACGTTGAAAGCTCAGTGGTGAAATTTAAAACTGTTGAAATTAGAGAGGTCAGCTGTGAAATACAAATTCCTTTGCTGTATGGAAAATCCACTTGTACAGTGTGTTTCATAAATAATTTGGCTTATATTGGGGATGCTGTATTTTTTTTTTTTTAAATAATCTTATCTTTCTGCCATCTAAATTTGAGAATTTTTTTTCATTAGTTCCTAAGAAAAAGTAACATAAAGTACACTTGTTTCCAGAATTACCTTTTCTGACCTTTCACAAGATGATAATTGCAGTACCAGTAGGCTTAGAGGACTTGTTAAAAAAATTAAGCTTGTAAAGTAGCAAAAAATGCCCCCTTGCTTGCTGGTGTCAATTTCAAAATTAACATTTTAGTTCATGTGCTTCTAATAATCGCTGACCCTTACTTCATGTGCTTTCCACAGGAAATGAATACAGCAGAAATTACTTTGACCCGTTGATGGGTGAGGAAATAAACCCAAGGCAGTGTGGGATGGAGGTCAGTGAGGAAGGTGAGGCAGAATTAAGTATGTAATTTTGGTGTCAGAATATTCTTTTCCATTCATGAAAATGAGGTGTCAGAGATCACATATGCAGTTCTATTTAAATATTGAGGTTTACAATTTAAATTCTAAGCCTTAACTGCTCTGCACACGGTGGGCAGTATACACAGACTTTGATCAAGGACAGTGAGTTAATGGGCAGGTAAAAATGAGGCTGTTCTGTATTCACTCTGCTACTGTAGCAAAAGGAAACACGCTCTGAGAGCATTGTCTACACCATATTCCTTTTAATTGATGAAGTTATTCCAGAACCGAGTGTGAAGCTGTAGCTTTTTCACAATCCTGCTCCCAAAGTCCTCCTTGGAGAGCAATTTTATTACAGAGTTGAATGTGTGTTTGCCTAAGAGAAGGAAACCCCAGAGTGAATAAAAGTGCATGAGGAGGTTTTTTTTGGTTTTCTTTTTTGCCAGTTTAGCCAAAATGTTTAGCTTTGCTCTCTGTGGGCGATAGCAACCGCGGAGAGGGTGTGACTGCAGAGTTGGAAGAACAGAAGTTATGCATAGGTATGAGAGAGATTAACCAGGAGGTATTGTCTAGCAGAGGAAATTCTCCTCTGCTGTCATGGCTTTTAGATAAAAAAGGGTGGGAACGGGCCTGCCTGAATTTGCATGGACTTAAGTAAGAGCATCATCATGGTAATGAAGTGCTTAGCTATGCACTGGGTGCTTTGGCCTGGCTCCTGTTGTTAAGCTCTAACAAGCTGATAGCACGCGAGAGCCAGCTCTCCTGTGTTACCTTGCTAGCCTCTTGCTTTCCTAAAGCCTGTGCTCATCCAGAGACTCTCCAGATGCACAGCTGTATTCAGAGCTAAAAAAAGTTATCTATCGTAAAGGGTCTCAAAGTTGTTCACTTCTGAAAGTCACGAGAAACTTTGGGCACATATTGATGTTTTAAACTTTTGAGACAAAAACTTATGTGACTTAAAAAACCAGGCTCTATTGCATATAACCAACTTGAATTACTGTTTTCTGGTGAAAAAAAACCCCAAGGTTGATCAAGGTTGAATTACATCTAATCCAAATAACTTCCCCCTTCTTTGTGTAGGATAGCAGTGTAATAATACCTGGGAAGTCAACTTCTGGCTCAGGGTTTTTAGAGGAAAGATTTTTTTTCCTGTTGGTCCTGCCTTGGTTCATCTTATGAAAGGGCTTTATGAGTCATGATCTGCTTCACAACCAGAGAATGAAAAGCAGATTAGATTTATGCATCTGTGCATGTATGCCTGAAATCGTGTATGGACAGAGTGGTGACATAAGGGATATACGGAAATACAGTTCTCATTGGGAGGAAACATTTTCTTGACTGTGTTGAAGAGGCTGAGTGATAAACTTAACCATAAATGCTGATTTTGAATTGTGTGGTGGGGGTTTATATATATTTATTTATTTATTTATTTGAGTATTTGGACCAGGCTCTTAGTCCATTGTCTTCCAGGGTTTGGAATGGGGAGGTGGTTTTAGTCAACTGCATGTCAAGCTAAGCCTGACATCCATGTGAGAACAGCTGTCTTTTGGTGTTCCTCCTTTTTCCCCATGGCAAAAATGTTACTTAAAGGTTGGGATAACACTTGCTTATTAAAAGTCAAATATCTGCAGTACCAGCCTCAGGTTGGCTGTGTGGATGTCTGTTGTGCAGTTATAATGCTTTATTTACCAATACCTCTGCCAAGAGCGAAACTATTACCTTGCAGATATTCAAAAGGTGCCTGGATATGGTCCTGGGCAACTTGGCTCTGTTTGAGCAAGGGCAGCTGGGCTAGATGGATTCTGGAGGTGTCTTCCTACCTTAAGCAGTCTGATTTGTCAATATTACAAACCAGGCTCACTATCTGGCTTCTTTTTCCTCGCAGAAGTGTTAAATGAGTGGAATTACTTTTGTATGTAGTGGATGGATTTAAAAAAGACCACCTGAACTAAAGCTTGGTCATCCCCTGATTGGAAACCATTCTGGTTTACCTCTTCTTTCTGGCTAGCAGTTTGTCATGAGCAAGAGTAAAACCAGAAAAACATGAACAAATTAGGGCACACTTTCAAGTTACACTCCTAGAATTTTAGAAAGCCAGCTCGATGCCCAAAGAGAATATCTGGTGAAAAGCAAATCTTCAGTCACTAACTATTCTTTAATGGGTTATTCTGTGAAAATGAAGATATTGGCAATTATTTTTTCTATATTTGATAAATTAGATTGGTTCTGGAAATCTGTATGAGTTCATAGTGCCCTGAGAACAAACAATGTCCCCCTATGGATTTTCTTGTGCCTCTTGCCAAGGGGACATTTCAACATTGCAGGCTAAAAGAAATGTAAGATTTTATACTTTCAGAGGAAGTTTGCAGAAGCCACTACCTTCTTTGAAAGATCAGTGTAACCTGGCTCTGAAATTTCCTGATTAAAAAAAGCATATTCTTTGAGATTCTATTGAGCGCTTGAAAAGAGCTACCCAAGCTTGCATGCAGCTGTACTTCAATCCACCTGCCTTGCATGCATTTCTTTGTTCTTCTGTCTGCCTGTCTTCACTGGCAACTTAGAGAAGTCAGGATCTGGGAGATCTGGAGAGAAAATGGTCCCAATTGCTCATTTCTCCCTTGAATATAGAAACTTTAAGTAATTTTTTTTATTTTTTATTTTTTTAGGTCTCATGGAAACAGGTAAGCCTCATGCATACCCTTTGCTGCTTTTTAAAATCTGCAGATATTACTGAAAATTTGAATGACTAACCAGCCAAAAATTCAAAGACCATAGAGTGTTGCAATGACTACTCCTACTTGATATTGTGTTAGTATTATTGACAGCAAGGTAAAATTTCTAATGAAGATCCAAAATCACATTAGAATAAATTGGGTATTTTGATTTCTATTAAGAGACAAATAGAATTCATCTGGCAATTTAAATATAAACAGTCATTTCAGCTACTCTATAAGTAAAATTTATAAACCAGTTTCAGTACAGGTCAACATATAATATTGCTTACCATTTAAAAGTTTATGACTATATATTTTATTTTGAATTGTCTTGCATCAAAAAAGTGACTGTAATTTTATTCTGAGCTATGAAACTAGCACTGTAAAAACTATCTTCAAGTGTCAAAGGACTTCCTAACTTTTGTATTTTTATATCTTTACTTTTAATTTAAAATAATATTCCCTGAAATACTACTGGAAGAAACTGTAGTTGTTTCACTGTTGTTTTTTTAAGATCCTGTGAAATTTGATGAGCAAATCCTGTACTCTAAACTGATGAAGCTTCTAGATGAAGAAAACAAGATGCTGGACTTCCAAGGTAAATAGCAAAGTCAATTGCATAAAGGAAAATAAAACTCTTTTGAGTCTGCATGGGGGGACAAGAGAGGGTAATCCATCCCCTTGAACTCAGAAGTCAAAGGGATGATGGTTTTAATGCAATTCTGTAAGGCCTTTTTCTCCAAATGTTTTTGTTTTGTGTCATGTTTATGTGGTTTTAACTGTAACTTAAGTGGCGTGCTTTCTCTAGATTGCTTCACTGCATGTTGAATTCCACACTTAGGAAGGAAGACTGGAAATATCATTATTTATGTGCTCAGATCTAGAAATCAAAATCCTTATTTAAGCTGCTAAACACAAATGGGAAATCTGTCTGATGCATGAGTCACATGACACTGTTTCAGGTTATCTATACAAGGATTTACACCAACAGATGAGTAAGAAAGTGTTTTCTGTGCCTTTGTTAGAAAATACAAGTTGATGTTCCATCTACAGTAAAAACAAAGTGTATGAGAAGAGATTTCTTTACCTCAAGCAAACAGCCTTACTTTGGTTTCACTTATTTTTACAGGCATTACTTACAATCTGCTTGATTCCTGAGACCTTTACCATCACAGCCTTTACACAAGCCCCATGTCTGCTGCTCTCCTCTGGTTCATCCTAGGAGAAGTGAAGTTTGTACAAGCCCAGCTCAGAGCTGCCCTTGTATTTTTTGCCTATCCACCCTCTCCTTTTTCAGCAGATGTCTTTTGTGCAGAATTGTTTTGTGTCCTTTGTATCTGTATGAGGCTTCCTGCTGTATTTCAGCAATACATGGGCCTGCTCTGTCAGAGAGAGCGGTGGTTGCCTATGACACTGGAGCTCCAGGAGCTGCAACTTGTTTTTTGACTATTTAGTTTATAAGCAACTTTGTTCTAGAAGAGGCAACTGTTTTCTTTCGCAAAATCTCTCGAACTGGCACTGGTCATATCACTTACATCTTTGAAACCCATTTCATCTCATTTTTAATGCAAGGGGGGAAAAAGTGCAACCATCACAAATGAATTCATGCAGATATTTTAAGCAAAAGCCTTTAACAAGTTATTAGCAAGAACTCAATTTTTCCATGTTAATGTCAATTCTGGGGCAAGCAAATGCATTGGCATGTGTGTCTCACACTCCATGTGCACATCAGAGCCCCCTGTGTAGGAGTGAGGGCAGCAAATGGGGGATGCCCTGCAGGCCACTGCCATCCTGCGTCCCAAGCTGTGCTTTGGTGCTTTTATTTCTTGAAAGTGCCACGATGGGTATCAGAGCTAGTCCTGTGGGTGAAGCTGCACACCGTTCTAGCTGAATTTATTACTTTCTTTGCTTGGATGAAGCAAATCCAGAAAAGAGGGATTTTCCTGGGGAGGTGAAGCTTGTTCAGTTTCCACGCCTGTGAATGTATCAGGGTGTATTTATTTCTGCCTGTGTTTTTTTCTCTCAGTATTTGAACTAGTTGGCCACTTCCAACCTTTTTTTTTATGTTTAACAGGGAGCAAGTCTCACAGGTATGACTTCCTTACCAGTTTTATGGAAGTGGGCAGTTGAGCAGAGCAGACAAGCATTATTAATGTCTCCACCGAGGGAAAAGCTAATATGGGAGTTTGACCCTTATTAGGCATCAGAAAAACCATAGGAAACTAGGATTCATTTGGTTCCACTCTTACAGAACTGCTTCGTTTCTTCATTTGGCCACTGAGCTGAAAAATCACATAGTCATACAGTCCTAATTAATAGATGATCTCCAAAGGAATGGAAAGAACATGGCTCAGGATTTATATAATTGTATATTTAAAGCATTTTGTCACTGAGTAACCTGTTGGTCACTCTTGTGGTATGTGTTACTTCTTATTATAAGACAACTTAAAAGACACTATTGGTTGTTTGTTTTTAAAGATATAGACTACATATTTTTACCTTGCATTTTTCTCAGTATAAGATTGTGACGCATGAACATTTTAAATGATGATATGTGAGTGCCATAAAAAGTAATTTCTATTATATTGTTCCTTGGCAAGAACCAAAAAATTCAAGTGCCAAGTTTTGCAGAGTTTTAGTTGTCTGAAACTGATGCATGAGCCTTCAGCACTGAACTTTTTTAGATACAATTTGTACACAGTTTTCTAGACCAGGTAGCCAAAATTATTTTTCCTTATGGAGTTTGTTGCAGCTTTTTGCGTCAAATCCATCCTGAGGTGTAGTCTGCTGCTGAATATACCCTTTAAATGACAATCTCAGTATATAAACTGCTGCTATCCGATGATGGAAAAATACAGAAGTAAATGAAGTCACAAGCAGACAAACTAATACCAGAGAGAATGTTTTAATTACAGCCCAGCATCTGCAAATAAAGCCTGTGCTGAAGTAATTTAAGCTACAAGGAAAGCTTGACTCTCAGGGTTAGGTACATACAAAGCAATGAAAACTTTTGATGCCCATGCTAACAATTTCAAGCAGCAAGTCTTTAATTAGTTTATCAATCCATTAATGAATTTTCAGCCGTTTTATCATCTGTGTACAAAGTAGTAGAAATTTTAATGCTGGCTATGTTTGTACAGTGAGGATTTATTTGCTTTTCTTTTGGTCAAGTATTGCTCTGGGGCACCACCTCAATCCTCCAACCTGTGGATCAGCTCAAGCAAGGACCAACCTGATGCTGACCAAGTTTGAGAAGTTTCTTTGCAAAACCACTGCAGCAGGAATAGATCAGCTGAACTAACCCTGTTCTCTCCTTGTTTCCAATTGAGGCAAATGAACAACTGTGCTTAAATGAGCATACGTATCTTTTAATAAAATATTTTTCAAATCTAAGTTGTAATTTATCTCTCTGTTTTTCAGAGCTGCTTCCCTTGAAAAGGTTTTTGAAAATGCTCTCTTCCTTTGCTCTTTTTTGACAAAACTTGTGCTAGTGAGTCCAATGTCTTCCACCAAAATTGAATTTGCTTGATATGATTCCTCACAAAAATATGAAATGCAAAAAAGAAAAAGTATATTTTGATGAATTGGTTCATGTTTATCTTTTTGAAATAAATGGTTTTATTCCCTTTTTGACTATTGCTCTACCCTGAGACAAGAATCTACTGACTTCCTAGGATGTAAACTTGCAGTGCTCCTGTGAAAGCAGTAAAGCAGCTGATTTATACAAGCTGAGCATATGGCCCGTTGTGTACAACACAGCATCAAGGGGAACAAGCAATGCTCCATCTTGTGCTTTTGGCAATGTTTCTTTTTCCTGTGCTTCCTGGGGTTTCTCTCTCCTAGCCAAACCCTTAATGTTACAGTAAATTTAAATGTAAATATTGTTTTGTTTCTGCAGTTAATAGTTGTAGGTCAAATCACTTTTCATTAGGTTTGTAAAGTGCTACATGAAGAGATGTGTACCCTAAGGTAATGGTTTGAGTTGTTTATATGTACTGTACATTTCCCCCAACATGATTTTGAATCGTATCCTGTTGCAATTAAATAGAAAACCCACCCTACTTCCTGTGTGTTGGTGGCACCGAGGTGATTTAAGTTCTCGGGAGGCTCAACAATTAAAGTCATTAAACAATGAGCAGTGAGCAAAACTGGAAATGTTAATAGCCTTAGTTTTATCTTTCCTTTTCTGGTCTTCATTAGGGAATGAAAGACTTCAAAGGAGAGTGAGGAAAAAAACCCTCTCTTTTAACTGCTTTCATGTCATAGGATGGACAAAGAGAAGCAAATAAATGGATATGGCATTTTCTTTAAGAGATAGGCACAGAGAACTATAAAAGCTTACACACAGAAATATGAAGTAAGACAGATAGACGTGGGCAATCTGATATCTGTTATCTTTTAGTGATGTTAATGTGAAAACATGAGCGAAAATAGTTGTCATTATTTATGATCCAAACTAGTGCTAGTACTGTAGCAGACATCATTGAGAAGATCTATTTTTAACATAGAATGATCAATTAAACTGAAAAAAAAGACAATTTCTTTTTAAGGCTGACTTTATGAATGATTTTTATTTGTGTGATGCATGTACCCTTGGTTCTGCATACGTCTCTGCAGTGAAATCAGGGGAATGGTGTGGGTGAGAGCAGAACTGGACCAAATTAATTAGGCAGAAGCTACACACGTACACCCAGGGAAAGGAATCCAATCATTTGGGGTGAGTTGAAAAGAAGATGAAATGCTTGATGTGGCTTCACCTAAAACTCCCATTCAATTGCAGTTATTACTCCTTTTCCTCAGGACAGAATGCCAAAGTTGTTCCAAATCCCTGTCCCTTTAAAATTAACATGCGAGCAAAGTGCCAGTGGAAATGTAGATCATACCTTTTAAAATGTACCTAAGGAACAAGCTGCACATGCTAAATTTGTGCCTGAATTCAGATGTTGCACTTGAGGACAGTTGTCCTGGTACTGGCACTTGGCACCTGTCAGTTATGTTACTGATGCTGTTTCATACTTAAAGTGTTGGTGGGCCAAACATATTAACCGAGAAGGTAGCACCCAGTGAATGAACTCCCATTTGCTGAGAGATAATCTGCCACTTTTGTTTCAAGCAGGCCGTGTCGTCAGTGAAGATTTTCCGGACGCTGTAATGCCTGTCAGCTCCAGTAAGGCATGTGACCTTCACAGGGAGCTTGAAGATGAAGAGCTTCCTTCATATATCGAACAGTTTGAGAGAGATGTTCAGGATGACATAATTCTGCTTGGCAGCTTTTCACTGGAACAGGTCAGAGTTAAGAACTATAAGACAATTTTATCACTTGCTTCATAACATGATGCTGGCTTGTTAACCTTGTACACCCCAATTCTATTTCTCTGCCTGGCGACACATATATTGAAAGGAAAGGATAACCATTGTCGTTGGCATGCTTTATGTGACTGGCACTTTGCTAAGCTAACAGCAGGACCTTTATCTTTGTCTCCATTTCAATGTGAATAAAAATAGATTGCCTTCATGGCTTCTTTCCTAAATAGTGGAGGATCTCTGACTGCTATGTAGTAATATTGCAATTGAGTTTCAATCAAGAGACTAAGTCTAAGACATCTCTCTCTGCCACATTTAACAGAGGCTTATTCATCAGTGAGCAAGTTCAGATTGGAGCCCAGGGAGGATTTATGTAGCAATGCTCATTGTACAGAGGATAAGATTATTTCCCCATTATAAATCTGTTATGTTTGTCAGGGTGGCAAAGCTTTCTAAGGTTTTTTTTTTTTTGTCATTTATAGCATAAAAGGACAGGTTCTGGTTCATGTTGACAAAGGCACAAGTTTGCAGGGCTGAAATGATACTAGTGGGCACCTAATGACCATTTGTCCCTTTGAAAAATCTCATACTAAGACTGGAGGACAGGAAGAGAGATTAATTGATGAATCTATCATTTTTAATTAGCAACATGAGAACAGCGCACTGGCTCTGATGGGCTTAAAATAGGTTATCCAGTGACTGATGGAGATCTAAGCTTTCTTTTATTTTCAGGGGAAATTTTTAGATTTTTTTTTTTTTTCCACTGCAGGACTAAACCTTATCATTGCCTTCTGCATGATGGTAAGGGACACAATTCCCCTCCTTACTGCTTTCCTCTAAATTCTGTAGCTATATTTCATTCCTTGTGACATTTTTATAGCTGTATGCATCATGCATGGAAGGTGGTATGGGTAATACTTTCCAGAGAATGTGAAATGGAAGGGAACTGTGAGGGAAAAGGACTGAGATGGTACTAAGAACCTCATCTGCCTCAAGGGACTGACAGAGAATGAACCTGGGAATAGGTGAACAGAAAGTGCTGCACCTTTCCAGAAGGTTATAATGTGTTGAGAGCCTGCACTTTAACTATGCTTGGGCTATTCAGATGCCCCCAAAACTTCATGAGGCCCTGTGACAGCTGAAGGAACACAATAAATGTGTTAAAACTTTTTTTAACCTCCCTCTAAACATGATCACATGGCTGATCATCTAACTTGGGATCCTTTTGGAGGTGCTCAGCAGAATTTGTTTCCTAGACACAATCTATCTGGTCACCCCAAAACTACATTCTGATTTTTAATTGTCAACTACATATGTGAATTTACAGGTAATACAATACAATAGTGCTTTTCTTCCTTATATTAGTTCAAAAGAAAGGAAATCCTCATTTAATGTGATTGATTGATTGATTGATTGATTGAGCTGGTCTACCATGAGTTTTCAGAGAGGGTCTCATTCTTTGCTTTGCAACAAAGAGGTCTTAAGGGCCTGTGGCACACATCTCTAACTTCAGTTTTTGTGCCTTGCTAAGGAGTTTGCTCTCACTGACACGGTATTAGCTGCCACATCTGCATTCTGCAATACAGACAGTAATAAGAGGATCCCTTTAAAATCTGTGTTGTCTTCTAGATCAGTGATCTGTACATCCATTCCTTCCTTGAAAGCCTAGAGAAATGGTGTATTCAGTCCCTTTGAACAGAAAATGGAAGAGCTGACATTGGAAGTAGACGCTGCAAACATCATGTATTGGGATTGTGTGGACAGGTTTTGGTAGTGGTGGGGGCGGCTACAGGGGTGGCTTCTGTGAGAAGCTGCCAGAAGCTTCCCTCATGTCTAGCAGCCCCATTCTCTGGTGGCCTCAAGATGGACCAAACACTGGCCAAAGCTGGGCCAATAAGAAATAGTGGTAACACCACTGTGATAACATATTAAAAAAAAAAAAAAAAAAAAAAAAAAAAAAAAAAAAAAAAAAAAAAAAAAAAAAAAAAGCAAGCTATTGCACAGTTGTTATTTTGGCCAGAGAAAAGCGGAGTTAAATTATGTGCAGCCCTGCAGACACCAGTCAAGGTCAGTGGAGAAGGAGGGGAAGGAGGTATTCCCAATGTCAGAGCAGAGGTTCACCTGCAGCCTGTGGTGCAGACCATGGTGAATCAGCTGTGCCCCTGCAGCCCATGAGAGATCCATGGGGATGCAGAGATCCACCCGCAGCCTGTGGAGGAGACCCACACCAGAGGATGGATGCCTGAGAGGAGACTGTGATCCTGTGGGAGGCCCATTCTGGGACACGGTCCTGGTGGGACCTGCAGACCCATGGAGAGGAACATATGCTGGAGCAGGTTTCCTGGTAGGACTCACACTGGAGCAGCTTGTCCTTGAAGGACCAAATTGTGTGAAAGAGTGACACTGGAGCAGTTTGAGGAGAACTGTTGCCATGGGATGGACTTCTGCTGATGAAGTTCATAGAGAACTGTCTCCCATGGGAGGCACCCCAAGCTGGAGCCGGGGAAGGACTCCCCTCCCTGAGCAGTGGCAGGAACAGCCTGTGATGGTCCGAGAGTAACCTCCATTCCCAGTTTCCCTGGACTGGTGTGGAGGGGAGGTAGAGCTAGGAAGGAGGGGAGAGCTGGAAGGAAGGTGTTTTTAAGGCCTTATTTTATTTCTCATTATCCTGCCCTGATTTTGTTAGTAATAAATTCAATTAACATTCCTAATTCTAGCTGGTTTTTAGTGAGCAATCTCTCCCAGTCCTTATCTCAACCCATGAACCCTCCATTACATTTTCCCTCCCTTTTCTATCCCACTACAGTCATATTGCTATTCAAAGACATCTAGCAATAATGTGAGCATGCTAATTCTTGCTTAATTAACCTTCTTTATTCTTTAATGGACATCTTTACTCTTTGATCCATGGGTATACCCCTGCAGCATTGCAGTGTTGATGCTTTTCCACAACAGCTACAGGTTCATTGTTAGACTGCTGCCATGGTCCTTAGAATCAGTTGCTGCCGACTTTGGGATGCTTCCAGCTTTTGTTGCTTGAACGTATGTTTATTGGTTTGTAAAAGTCTTTAATTTTGTGCATGGTATTTACTTCTTATTCAGTAGAAAAAACCCTTCCCTTCTCTCTGCAGGTTTAGTGAGTAGCAGATGTACTTTAGCTAGCATAATTTATGATTAGTTAATTTAATCTGCCATAATGACATAAAGTGAGGCTGAAACAAGCTTCTATCAATTTTGTCATTAAAGGTAGCATAATATTTTCAAATGTCTACAAAACTGAGTAATTAACCCTTGGGCTGAGTAAAGGAGTCTAACAGACATCTCCCTCACATTCCTTTGTTTTGGTAAAATGAAAAAAACCCATGGGAGCCCAAGGGTTAAAAATACCAAGTGAGAGTTTACAGTATGTGAGACTGGTTTTATAAGAGAGATTCAGAAACACACTTGAGTCGCTGCTGTTTCTTTTTAGGCTGCCAAAAATTCTCTCCAATGAGGCACCTGATTTACGCTGGAGCGTTGCTGGAAGTGTTGGCGTGGAAAGGATAGCTATGTATCAGCTATCTATCGCATAGTTTGTTGTTTTTCCTTGCCTTGTAGCATTACAAAAGATGGGTGGCTTTTGTTTAAACAGCGGCTCAGTGCGTGAGATGACCATGATTCAAAGCTTTTGAAAGGGCAGATGTATTTTTCAAAGAAATATTTTTTGGGAAAGGGTTTATGTTAGATTTTAGCTCTGGAACTTTAAGCTGTATTGTTTCTTACTTCATGTCCTGTGTTGTAAATGCAAAAACTGAGAGCTGAGGTTGGCAAGAAATGCACAAAGGGAGATCTGGTAGACTCTTGTAAAGAAAGCATTAAGCAGATGTCAATGTTCTGTTAACAAATACATTAAAGAATATTAAATTTGGAAAGCAGTGCTGTTTTGTATGACCTGCCATGTAGACACAAGAATTTCAAAGGCCCGAACTACATTTGCTTTTAATAAAGAAAAATAAACTCTGTTGCAAGAAAATCAAAACTTGGGACTGTGTTGTGGTAGAAACTGAGGAGGTGCAACCAAGGCTGGATATTCAGAGCACCACAGAAAACCATTTGTCATGAGACAATGCAGGGGCACATTCTTATGGGTGGAACTTGATCTTACAGGGCAGAGAAATATGCAAGGAAATACCTGAAACAATGCTGATTTACCGTGTTTGCTTAAAGATGGGGTGCTCTCAAAACATGACAGACTGCTGAAGATGGAGCAAACAGTGGTGATTGGAGTGAGATTGAACTTGATGGGCTTTTGGCAACATGATCTTGCTATATTCTAATTTAAATTCCATGGGAAAACACCAGCTCTAGAGTTCTTATCTGTTTCTGAACAAAGACAATAAAAGTGACTACGCAGTTTTATGTAGGCTCTCTCAGAAAAAATAATAATGGGGTGACTGAGAGGATCAGTACTGCCCCACAAGCCAAGCATACCACTCCTGTTTGCCCACCCTCCTCCTGCAACTTGGTTAGTAGTCTTTACCAGGGGTAATTTGTTCACAGCCTCCATCTCTCTCTAGCAGTTTCAGCTGCTACATTTACCCCTCTCTGCAGGGCATGGCACCTTGCAGGACTTCATCATCATCACTATATAATCAGTTTTGATCCATGACCTCAATGTGAATTACTTGAGAGCCTTTGAATGTAAAGTGCAAGTTTTGTTCTTCAGTCCCAGCAGCTGAGTTATAGTCGTAAGAAATGAGCTATTTGTTGCAGGTGGATAGTAATAAAATGTTGTCTTTCATCAAAAGATTTACCTTTTGGTTAAACAAAGGTTAATGCCTCAGGGTATTAGATCTAATACTCTTACAGGGTCATTATCATCACTGCTCTGACTCCTTGACAAGTCACAGAGATCAATTTATATGATGATGGAGAAATCAGTTTTCCTTTCATTAATAGTGGATAGAACATGGGTAAAACTTGGTGCTATGTAATATGGTAAC